TAAAAGAAAATCATATACTCCCAAAATAAACACAATATATAGAGGAAGATAGTTACGTAATACTCCCAAAATAAATAAATAAATAAAATTCAAAAGAAACTGAACATAACAGTACCTGATAGGTGCGCCCTATAGAACCCCAAAATTGAGTAAAGATAGCCTGGTTAGAAATTTAACGAAACAAAATCTTGAGCATAGTACAACACTTTAAATTAGATAAAAACCTTTTCTCTGAATCACATTCCCGATTCGCACCTGCAAGGAGTCAAGCTGATGTTATATATATAGATTGATATATAATACGTTGATAGATGAACAAAAAGGTATGCAATAGTATAAAAAAGTGGCATTCCTTGCTACATAAAAAAAGGGAAAAGTGATGAAAGTAAGACAAGTAAGTTTAACACTGCCGTTTTCAGGTCCCAAGTCCTGAATGAGAAAAGTGGTCGGTTGTATTAGGTAGTCAACAGTCAGCGTAAAATTTGTTGAATAATCATGACATGAATCCTTTAAAAGAGTGGGAGAAAGGCTTGATGTTGTTGTTGTCGTCAAGCTCTCATACTAATTATCAGAAATATTTCTGGCCAAGACATTCAAACTTGGAAAGGCATTTTTTCAAAAAAAAAAAAAAATTTGTCTTAGTAAGCAAATTCGCATGTTCTGTGTCAATAATACATCTACTTATGCATTACTAAAGAAACACTTTGTTTTCATCACCTCACCAGAAGTAAGGAAAAAAAAAAACAAATGCTAGCTTAAAATCATAAATAACTTTAATTGATGTACCATATATTTTACGATTAAAGAAAAAACTCCTTTTCAAGCAACACTTGGACAAAATTTAAAACTGGCTTTGACAACAATATAATTGTGACATTATATTTTAACCATAGTCATACAATTTCCAATTTACACTATCCCACACTCTATACAATACAATTGAAACAACTAAAATAATGATAAACACCGATTCTAAAGCATCAAATAACTCACAAATCAAAGTAACACCTGCAAAATCAAATTTTGATTGAACTAAAAGGACTTTATATGAATTTCTTCTATACGAAGCAATAAACACACAGACAGGTAAACACTTTCTTGCGAACCATAAACGGGAAAAAGGGAAATTTACGTCAGAACCGAGAACTTTGGCACCACGGCGTTGGATAGCAGCCCAGGGCAAAGCAAGAGTGCGGAGAAGGGGAGAACTGACGGCGGGCCGCAACGGCTCCGTTGATCTCTGAGCAAGCGTCGCTATGGAAGAAGACGAAAGGGTGGATAGAGAATAACCAGAGGAGTGAAAAGCTCGGAACACTCTTCTGCTCGCGCGGTGCATTGTTTGATGGATCGCGGAAAAGCAGAGAGCAGCGCGACAACAAAAACCCTCCCAATAATTTGCCCCCAATTTTTTCAAAAAAAAAAAATCGGTAGAGGCGCTTTTTTATCTAAAACCGAATCTTCCTCCATTGTTCACTGGATAGAATAAAAGTTCCCAATTTTGGGCTTTTTAACATATTGGTTCCGTGCGCATGAGGTGGTGCAAACGTGCCGGGCTTTAGTATAATAGAAGTTGATTTTAAATAAATTAACTCTAAAAAAAAATATAATTAATCCAATATAATTAAATTAGAAGCTCATTAAGGCACTTAAGTATTAAAAAATTGCCTATAATCAAGGAAATCATAGAGGGTTGCTTATTGCATTTTTTTAGCTTAGCTTTACCAATATTATAGTTAGATTTCTATTATTCATATGAAAGGGGAACTTGGAGCTAAACATGGATTGGATGTTAGAGGGAGCTCTACTTTATGATCGAAATTATAATCGCCACCAACAAATATTGTCACCTAACCACTACTGTCCAACCATCAATGCCCGTCTATGATCACTTTGCCACCTTTCTCTGAATATAATCTCTTAATCACCATCATGTGAATACTACGGATTCTTAAACACCATTGCCTTAGTATGAGCTCTTGATTGCTATCATCATGATTACAATATATTGACTATTGTCACCTAATTAGTGGTATGATTATAGTTTTATAACCCCCATAACTTACTATATTATCCCAATTACTATCGCTTGACTATAATCACACATCAATTTTATCGCCAATAATATTGATGCATGCCATTTTGATATCCTAGAATATAATTTAGAAGAATTATTTTTTTATCTTTTAATTTACACAACCATAACTACCTGATTTTTTAATCAATATAAATAGCAGCTGAAATAAAACTATCAATTAAAACATCAATATATACATATGTATTTATTTCTCAAAAAATCATATATGCTACTCAAGTTATATACAATCATATCATAATTACTATGTCTTTGAGTATAAAACAATGACTAAAATATTCACCTCATGCATAATATGAAGTTATTAGAGTGGTACATTTTATCCTATATATGCATAAAATTCATAATGATTTATAAATAAACCTATAGTACATATAAATAAAATTTAGAACGATTTGCAAATTGACCTAGAGCATGCATTTTTCTTGACATTAATGACATTAATATGGAACTTTCATATAGACATCTATCATTTTAATAATAATAACAACATAAAGCCTTTATCCATATATGGTGTCGGCAACATAAATCATTTTTCTTCATTGTATCCTCTTAAGAGTCAAATTCTCATAATCGGTTCATCAAAAGATCTATGTTTTATGTGACTATACCATTTAAGGTGACTCTTTTTAAGATTAACTATCATTAGAGTTAGTCTAGAATTTTCATGTAAATACATTGTTCTCATTCTATCCTTAAAAGTAATGCCACTTAGAGCTGTCAATTTTTGACACGACCTGAAACACGACTCGAACCCGGCACGAAAAAATCCGGGTTCGGGTCAACCCGAACCCGAAACGGGTCGGGTTCGGGTTGAACAAATCAACCCGTTTTAAAAATCGGGTTGGATTCGGGTTGACCCAGCAACCCGAAATTGACACGAAAGTGACACGAAAACTCATATTTGACCCGAAAACCCGAGATTGACCCGAAAATCGAATATTGACCCGAAAATTAGCAATTTTAGGTCAACTTCGGGTCATTCGTGTCGGGTCAGGTTGACCCGGACCCGAATCGGGTCGGGTTTGGGTTCAGAAACCTGACCCATTTTTAAAAACATGTCGGGTTCGGGTTGACCCGAACAGTGCCGGGTCAGTTTCGGGTTCAACCGGAACCCGACCCGCTGACCCGAATTGACACCCCTAATGCCACTCATCCACCTAGTCATCTTCAACTCTCAAACACTTAAATTAATTGTACAATTCTCTTTTAATGGTCAACATTTTATGCCATAAAGAAGTAAAGGTCCTACAATCATCTTATCCCTTAAGTTTGGCGGTATATTTCTATCAGAAAATAAAATTATGAAACACTTATTGAGATACCACGGAATTACGGACGAGACGGCAGATGGTTATACCACGACGAGGCAACAAACAAAGGCAGACAACTTTATCATGATGAGGAGGCGAACAACGCAAACGACAACGTTGAACCACGGGAGACGACTCACGCGAATGAGACCATCGAACGGGAGGAAGGGAGAAATTACCTACAAACAATTGCGAACAATTGGAAATAGGGCTTCCTCCGGAGGAATCCCCGACAAATTTTCCATCAAAAATGTTTCTAGCAGCTATTCCACCGTAAATATTTCCAATGACTATTCAGCTGGAAAGAAGTCATCGGGTTTAAGTAAGCCAACATATATTCTGCCAGTAGTTTCGCTGGAACATTTCCAACGCAATTTTTGTCGGCTTGAAATAATTGGCGCCTAGCCTGACAGATTAGGCCACTGGAAAATTAATAGTGGTATATCCGCTAGAAAAGTCGTTGGAATTTTTCCTGCGAAAATATTGCCGGGTTATCCGTCATATTTTCGACGGACTTATATTTGTCGGGAATGCCGCAAAAAATAATGATTTTTCAAGTCGTGTGTCATCCCTCACTATGCTGAAGTGCGCCATCACTAATAAAGTCTATGCACGTTATTAACATTAACTTCGATTCTCAACATTAACACTAAGATTACAAATTGACATATTAATCCCTAATCTTATCTCTCCTACAGAGAACAAAAAATCAATCCACAAACTCTCGTAGGAAGACAACTCTTATGTCTCAAAATTCTTTTAACTTCAACTATAAAATCCAGCATACGCGATTCATGTCTCTTACATTATAACAAATCCTTCTCTAATTATGTAAAGTGATATTATTCGTAAGCAATGATATATATTCGTAGAATCATTTTAACTGAATAAAACCTCGTAGCTTTCATTTTTTAGATTTTTCATATATAAACTTTTATGTTCCTTACATTTTTTTTATTAGTCTATGGGTTAGACCTTCGTTAAAAATTAAAATGTTAAACTCTTTGTCTTAGCTGCTATGAATATTCTAAAACACATAAATTTATAAATACACATTTATTTAATTTGATGCATATTTTTAACTATATATTTACCTCTCATAAGGACAGATAATATCTTTACTTGAGGTCTTAACCAATTTAGGCATCAATTAAGAGGCTTAATTCTATATAAAATAATCCTAGTAGTATTATATTGGAGACCAACCTAATCATTGAATGAAATATTAATTTTCTATTATTCTCTATTTTTCTTTATCTGAATAACCATAACCTATTATTAGAAGACATATGATTACTCAAAATAACAAGCCTTAATTACTATTAATTTTAGTTTGCATGTTTTGAAATGATCATAAAGCAAACTAGCATCAAAACAAAGGACCAACAACCAGCAAGCCAATCCTAACTCGTTAAATAATGAAATCCCAAAACCTCATTGAAGTTTCTTTTGATATAATGATATTAGTAGCATAGTTTTGTAGTCTGAAATTCCAAGCCAATTCCCATCATTAAAATTTTGAAAGCCAACAGAAATGCTATAACTAAGCAAGTATACAATAACAATCAGCTGCATGTAAAGTAAAAATATGATAATTTAGGCTTTGTTTGGGACGGTTTTCTCACCGCTTCTTAAAGCAACTTTCTAGTACAACAAATAAAATTTTTATACTCAAAAGCTGTTTTAAGAAGCAATAAAAAAACCGTACCAAACGAATCCTTAAACTCTGAAGAATTCATTCATCAAACATAGAACCTGAGCCATCTGAGGCCTCTCCTCAGGGCTTTCAGTTGTGCACATCATCCCAATCTTTATCAAACACATCAGCTCCTCTTCACCTGCACCATCCTCTATCTCCTTACAAGTCACCACTTTCAAAATCACCATTCCAAAACTATACACATCTGATTCCTGAGTAGCTTTTGCTTTGCCTCTCAAGAGCTCTGGGGCTTTGTAGTTATGCCAATTTGAAGAATTATCACCATCTGCTTTGTTGTATAAAATAGTTGAAGAGGAAGAATTTGGTTGGTGAATTGTATTGGTTAGGGACATTAAGCCCCACTCAGATATTCTTCCATTGCCATCAAAATCTATGAGAACATTTGATGGTTTGATGTTTCCATGTACTAGAGGAGATCTCGAAGTGTAAGTGTGGAGGAAATGGAGTCCTCGAGCAGCTCCCTTCAATATCTGGATTGTGTTACTCCAGTTTAAGACCCCATTAAGTGGCCTTCTTTCATCTGCCAAATAATAGATGGGAATTATGGTATGAACATCATCTTTTTGTTTGTTTGTTTTCTTATTTTTAGGGAATGGAAGGAAGTAATGATTCATGATCTATCTATAATACAAGGAAGTAATGATTCTTGGTGAATTTGAAATTTTTGTATTAAAAAACCGTTTTAAAAAGCAGTACGAAAGCTGTCTCAAATAAAGCCTAAGTCACATTTGCAATCTAAAAAATAAC